GAGGTCCCTTCCAACTCTATAATTCTGTGATCTTGGAGGCTTTCATGAGGCTGAGCTCACCAATAGGCAGTGGTTATCTTGGTTTTAGCGGCCCCCACACAGTTGCAAGACTGAAGATGCCCAGCACAGGTGGTCAGCCCATCCAACCAAGTCTCATGCTCCTCAGAGCCCCCAAGGACTGACCAGGTTGTGCATGGTAAGGCATGTAATAACCCTTTCTCTCCGCATAGTGAAGGGCTTTTGCACTGTCTCTTAGCCTCAGACTTCAGAGGGGGTCTATAAGAGAGTCAGAGAGACAGAGAGGCCAGGACACTGATCATCTTTTCCTTCTACTGCTCTTATGCTATCCCTTATATGTGTAGATTGCTACACTCAGGGAATCTTCCTTCCAGTTTGACACCTTCTCTCCACACTGTGCTACCTCTTCTCCATCTTGGCACCATGAGGGCAGGACATGCATCCTGCATCTCTATCCATCCTAGCTAGTTAGACTAGATTAGAATCCTGTCTCTACTCTATCCTGTCTAGAATGGAGTTCCTTATAATAAAGGACTCATTTTAGTTTTGCAGAGATAAAGAGGCTCCGTGTGTAACCTTGTTTCTTGTAAGCACACACTAACCAGGTAGGCTCTGCAGTGTTATGTGCCTTGAGCACTCTGCTACCCAAATAATCCTTCAGTCCCCCATCATGCCTCGCAACATGGGCTCTCCCTCCTCATCAGTATGTCTGCACAGATGGATTGAATTACGCCCAGAGAGAAGAAATATAAAGTACTGTAGCATTGTTTTTCCGGCAGGCATTTTGATAGGAGCTGCACTTTATCAGCAAAGCCAACCTAGAGCTAGGAGCTACCTAGAATGATATCCACCGCTGAACGTGTTCATGAATGCACTTTATACTGTACTGCCATTGATATATTAACGGTCTTATGTCATGTTTTATGTATTTTTATTGTGATATGTATCTTGTTTTATTGGTTTTATGTAAGCCGCCCTGAGCCTGCTTCGGGGGGAAGGGCAGGGTAAACGTTGAAACAATAAATAAATAATCTGCCTCCAGACACTGTGTGCAATGAAAAAGACAGAACAGTACAAATGCATTTTTCAGTAGTTCTGGAACAATCCTGTTGGCAACACTGGAATTTCTAAAGGATCTATTCTAAAGTGAGCATTTGGGAAGCTGATTCAAATTCTGGAAGCGGGCAGACTCAGTTGATCCATGCCCGTACTGTGCCCTTGGTTGTAGGGTCTGTGGGGTTGTTTCAGCAGTTGGCCAGATCCCAATATCTAACTTACACCTACCTATATGAAGAAGAACGTGCTGTCGAATAGCAGCTGACTAAGGGCGACCCCAGTCATGGGAGCCATGGGGCTTTCAAAGCAAGAGACATGGAGATGGTTGTCTAAGGGACTTCAAAAAGAGAGTTTAGCTATTGCTTGATTAAAATGTAGGCCCGCTTTGCATATTAAGATTTGGGTGCAGGTCACCTTCCCATTCCAGCATACTCATGGAACTGGCACGAATTGACTCACCCTGGACATTTCCCCAAGTTAAGTTTTTTGTGAGTATTCGCTATATGTCCATTAAGCAAGAGAAATTCTCTAAGAAGAGCTGCAGGCAATAACTCTGGAATGACCCATATTACATAGAGCTAAAATTGATAATTTCTGACAAAAAAAAGTTTTATCCATCAACTTTCCCCCCATTTGGTAGGGGATTTTGCTGTATGATTTTGCTGAAGAGACTACCAAGCATTGGTTGGCAATTAAATGATTATTGTTTGAGGAGACTTCTCTCTCCTGTCCAGCAGAAATGTGCTTGACCGGCATCTGTCAAGATAAATGACTGTCTTTTCCCCTCATTATATGACCCAGAGTCAAATGAACTAAGCTAGAGAAGAGCAGCTTATAATTCAGTAAACTGCCTGACACTTTTCACCTCAGTCTCTCAGAATGTTAATATGTTTCCCTCAGAAAACTGGCATTTGATGACTTGTGACCAGGAGGCAGAAATGCATGGGGGGGGGGGGGAGTGACGCTTCTCTTTCAGAGTCCTGATGTAATTGCTGCTGTGCACCAATATTATAATGCTTACTGCACATTATAGAGGACATATATAGTAAAACTGAGACCCTGCATGCTGTTGATGCGCCTCATATTTAAATGGCAATGATACTGTGGCATCGTTTCATTATTCAGGGGGAGAGAGCCCTTGATGTTGGGCTAACAGTCTAATAATACTTTGCACACTCCAGTAAGGCATAAAAAGCAGACAAAGTGTGAGGGATTCATATAGCTCCGCATCGTGTGGTAGCTGTTGCTTATAGAGTATGCTCACTGTGTGGAAATGGCATTCATGTGGGGAAATGATCAGCCATAGTGAGTGGTCGTGTGGTGTAACCAACCTTACTGTGCACTTGCAACTGCTACTATGACATTTCTGTGCAGTAGCAAAGGCCCATAAAATTTGGCTTTTTGCCACACAGTACCAATATAAAGAACACAATTTTTGTCTTTGGTAGAGTTAATTGTTCGACCGAGACTAGGAATCAAAGGTATAGTTGAAAGTCCCTGTCATTTGCATTGACTGGGATTGTTTCTGAAAGTTAGTTAACGGCTTTGAGACAACAACCTCAAGTTCTGTGTGAAATAGCTTCCTATTTTATCTTTCTATAAAAGTATGTATATTTTTATGAATTATTGTAGCATTGCCACTTTCTTACGCTGAAGAATTCTAGTATTTCCCCTCTTTTTACTTTGGAAAGTAGAAACCCACATCATGATGTAGAAATCCCTGATAATTTTTGATCTGTTCGTGTTTTATGCAGTATATTGAGACCTCCGGTAATTTAAAAATGCAAAACCATTGTTATTATTAGCTCTGTATCATCTTGTTCTAATATACAGCAAGCAACTTGTTTGTCTGTAACTAGATAGCCTTGTACAGCCTGCCCTGGTTGCCAGTTTGTCTGGACGACTCTGAGCCAGCAACAGCATTGCTGGGAGAGTTACGTAAGTGTAAGAAATTTGTCACTCATTCATGATCTGGGATTTGAAGGATAAGAACACTCCTGTTATAGCATAGCAGGAGCTAGAGAGTCAGCTAAACGAGTGAATCAGACAAACAGTAACTACTCAGTGTGTACAGTGCCTTAGGGTGCATCCATTCATTGCTGGATATTGTGCTACCATTATGCTGTAGCAATCATTTGCAGTTATATTTTGTATTTTCCTGTGTGGCCATGACAAGACAGCTGTAAATGTGTGCTATAGTGCACTGAGAGCACAACATCTAATGATGTGCAAATTTAGTATTAGATGGACAAGGGCCTGATGGAGAATTCTAGGCCTTCCTAGAATTCCCACTGCTCCCGTAAAATAACTGCAGTATCATTATCACCTCTGTTCATGGGCTACCTCAGGTAACTTACCTAGCCTACCCCTTCAAGAACAGGAGGGTTTGTTTGTTTGTTTTGACTTAGTCATATGGTTGCCTGGTCCTAGAATTGCCCACCTCCAGATGGTCAAGAAAGTATTCAAGCACTTCCAGTGAAAAATAACAACAGCCATTCACTTAACGCCAGAGATAACATGCTGTTTCTCTGCCAAGCCGTTCTTAAGGGTAAACACTCTCAATTCAGACGTTGGACTCCTTTCACTTCCAAAATATCAAAACACGGTTCTTGCTAATCGATATATTTGGCAATCCCGATTCTTGCACAGCGTCAGTCTCTCTAATGAGGCCAGAATCAGGAGCTTCAGTGCTAGAAATTAAGTCTGTAGGCGTGGCTTCGTGAGAAGTCCAGTCTTGATAAAGGATTTTTGAAAAGTCAGTACAGCCGTAACATTTTACTGTATTTTGGACTGCCAACTATATCGATTAGAAAGAACTGTGTGTTGATATTCTGTTTGGAAGTGAAAGGAGTCAGACGGCCGAACTGAGACCTTTAAGAATGGCTTGGCAGAGAAACGATGTGTTATCTCTGGCGTTACGTGAATGACTGACCTTCAGGTAGTGGCTGGAGATCTTCTGGGATTACGGCTGATCTCCAGGCAACAAAGATCAGTTTCTCTAGAGAAAATGGCTGCTTTGGAAGGTGGAGTATATGGCATCCTACCCCATTAAAGCTCCTCCCCAACCTCCTCAGGCTCCACTACCCAAATCTCCAGGTATTTTCCAAGTCAGAACTGGCAACCCTACCTGGCTTCCCCCTCCCCCCCCCCCCACAACTCCCAAGTCTCATGGGTGAGGGCCTATTGATATTGCATTGAATATAGGGTTGCCAAGTCCAATCGACTTACCGGTGGGGGAGCGTCACAGGGCTCCAAGAGCTCTCCTATGATGCCCGCACGTCCTGGAAGTGATGCACTACGTCGATCACGTTGGGGGATGTTGGGGGTGTGGCCCCAATCGTTGGAGGGAAAACCATAGAGTTTCCCCTCTGACAATTGGGGCCACGCCCCCAACGTGATCTATGTGGTTGCGTCACCACCGGTGACGCAGCCACACTGTGCTTCGGGGGCGGAGTTCCCCCCAGGGCCCGATTCTGCGGCGGCGGAAATCAGGCCTCCAAAGCGGGGGTTTACCCGCCACCTGCCCCCACTTGGCAGCCCTAATTGAATAGTAGTACTAATGATAGTGTTTCCACTCACCGTTAAGCATTGTACCCCCATGATATCTATGAATGTGTGTAGTCTTAGTCATGTGATTTTGAGGAGATGGACTAATCACCACACACAAAAAAACTTTTAGAGGTATGGCAATTGACTATGCACAAGATACAAAATGTAACAGAGATGCTTCCCATCTCCCATCTGCCTGTACAGTAGCTACTACCAGTAGGCATGTACAGAAGTCTTACGAAAGCCATCAAGCATTGGGCTGGCTGTAAGCCCTAAGAATTAGCCCCCAAACAGGTAACCCTACTCAGGCAGCCCTTTTTGCTGCATTGCTATCCCACGTTTAACTGGAACAAGAACCGCTTCTGTCGCCTTGGCAGGGATGTTACAGAATGGAAAGAAGTTTGATTCCTCCCGAGACCGAAACAAGCCTTTCAAGTTCAAGATCGGCAGACAAGAAGTCATTAAAGGCTTCGAAGAAGGAACTGCGCAGGTAGGAGAGATCATGATTGTCTTTTCTCAGTCAAGAGGTTATCATCATTGTTGTGAGTGAAATATTAATTTAAAGTTACCTTGGGGGGGGGAGTTAATTGTATGTATGTATGCACATTTGGTGGTTTGAATATAAGTAAAATTCAACTAGATACATCTTTGAATCTAGTCACACACTTTCATCAATTACTACTGTTATTTCTGGGGGTCTGCAGATTTGGGTCAGGAGTAGAGTTGCCAGGTCCCCCTTGGCCACCAGGGGGGAATGAGGGGTAGGGTTACCAGATCTAGGTCGAGAAAGTCCTGGAGATTTGGGGATGGAGCCTGGAGAGGACAGAGGCCGCAGTGGGGTACAATGCCAGAGAGTCTACTCTCCAAAGCAGCCATTTTCTCCAAGGGAAATGATCTCTGTAGTCTGGAGATGAGCTGTAATTTCGGGGGATTCCCCAGGTCCCAACTAGAGGCTGGCATCCGTAGTTGAGAGGTAGTTAACGACACACTGTTGCTGTAGACTTAACTCAGCATTTGCTGCACTTATAGAAATTCTCCCCCAAAATCACATATTGTGTTCATGTAAAGTGTGAATCAAATAGTACTTTTTCAGGCTAATTAGCTAATTACCTCTCCATAGCATGCAAAAAAAATTAGCTCAGCATGGTGTCAGCCCATATACAACTGCTTTGTTACCAGCTCAGTCAGTTAGGTGGTCAGCGTGGACTAAAACTGTTATGCAAATAAGCCTTAAATATTCTAGGACAGGGGTGGCCAAACTGCGGCTCCGGAGCCACATGCGGCTCTTTCACACATATTGTGCGGCTCCCGGCAGGGGGGCTGGGGGACTCTTTCTCTCTCCCCCCCCACCTTCTCCCTTCCTCCCTCTCATTTGCTTTCTTTGTTTCTCTCTCTCTTTCTTCCTACCTCTTTCCTTCTTTCTTTTCACCTCTCTCTCTCTCAGACAAACAAATATCATTATCGAAATCTGTTTTTCCCCCTTTTGTTTTTATTTTTGGCAGTCTCATTTAATGTTAATAAAAATCAAATCTGCATATTTTTAAATTAAAACGTGTGTGTGATATTTGTTCCTGCCTTGCGGCTCTCAAACATCTGATGTTTATTCCACGTGGCTCTTAAGTTGAGCAAGTTTGGCCACCCCTGTTCTCGGATAAACCCTGATAACAATATGACGTAGAGGAATCGCTGGGGGAAATATCTTCTTCGGGAGCACGATCAGTTCAATAACATGGAGTTACTCCCGTTGTTTTGGAAGCACCGAGGTTTGCTTTTTACTCATCCCACGGACCCTCGGCCTTCAGCTTCTTCAGTTTCTGCACATGCAGACATTTCTGCTGTTGCCCTGCAAAGTTTGTAGATGAATGTCTCAGAAACCCTTGAAGGCAACTGGTACTTCTTTGGGCCAGCTTCTATCTTCTCCTTCTACCTGTCGCAGGTTTCAAACAAAGTATTCCTGACCTTTCTCCAAAGGGCTCAGGGCAGCATCCATGGTTCTCCAATGCCCCCTTCTATCCTCACAATCTTTCTGAAAAAGAGATTAGGCTGAGGGACAGTGACTGGCAACACCTCACTGAGTTTCAAGGCTGGGAACGTAGGTCTCCCCATTTTGAAACTCAACATCCTATCCACAGTGGCGCCAACAGTAGAAGAGATATATCTGCTCCCAGGGCTTTTTTTGTAGAAAAAGCCCAGCAGGAACTCATTAGCATAATAGGCCACACCCAACAGCAGAAATTCCTTAGCTTATTAGGACACACCCCTGACAGCACAGCTCATTAGCATATTAGGCCACACACCCCATGTTTGCAGAAGTGTGGTCATCCAGACACACCCACCTTTTGCTTCTTATTCTGTTTACCTTATTTGTTGTCAAAACAGGTCTTTTTTAGCAGGAACTCCTTTGCATGTTAGGCCACACACCCCTAATGTAGCCAGTCCTAATGAGTTTCTGCTGTTGGGTGTGGCCTATTATGCTAATGAGTTCCTGCTGGGTGTGGCCAACTCGGGAGCCAGCCGTAACTCCATTCCTGTACGTTCCTGTCCAAAAATAGCCCTGTCTGCTCCCTGAAAGTATGCTATAGGGTAAAAACCCAATCTGATACTTGAAAACAATCTGCTTCCCTATCAAAATAATAAACAATGGGGTGGATCCTACCCCCACTCTACCACCCTACAAGCAAAGTTTGAAGTCTTCCTCTAGCCTAGGGAAACCTAATTTAAGACAGTGTTAAGTGGCTCTTCCTTTGGAAGAATGATCCTTAGGTTGGGAGGAAGGTTCCTTGAAGGATGGTTGTATCCCTCCCCCCAGTTTGAGTCACATGACTGCAAGGTAATTGCTCATGAAATGCAGATGATTATTTTTTTATGAAAAAAGATTTAAAAGGGTTATTTGCAATGTTCCCTCTAAGCTGTGGAGTCCTGTGAGCAAGAAATTCTACTTTGTGAGCTACCGCCATTAAAGTTGTGAGCAGGTGAATTGGCTACTGAATAACTTAGCTTGCTCTGGAGCCCTCCTTCCTGAGCTAAGACAAAAATGTGTGAGCCGGAGGCTAAAAAACTGTGAGCTAGCTCACACTAACTCAGCTTAGAGGGAACACTGGTTATTTGTAAACAATGACTGTTATAGGGAGCGATCCAAAGCAGCTCTGGCTCAGAAGTACATCCAATTTTATTTAGTGTACGGTTTACACCCAGGAAGGCATTCTTAGGATTGCAGCCTTTATGGAACTGCCGCTGATCTCACTGAATGTCCGCATGCCATCAAATTCACTTTAACGAACAGTGATGCTTACTTTCACATGCTAGTAGTTAATAGAAGGACTAAAACTGAATTGCTGGTTAAATGAAAAATACTAATAAGGCCCAAGAATCAACAAGTCCCTCAGTACATTTTTTTGGTTTCTGGACCTCAGATAGAATGATGGCTTTTGTTGCGTGATTTGACAAACATGGAGCAATTACGAATACATTGAGTGAGGACGGAAAAGCCATCAAAGGGCTGTGCACACTAAACTGAAATTAAATCCCACCAAATAAAGTGCACTAATTTAAAACATGTTAAGGATTAGTCTAAGAAGCTCAATCAGAGGAAGCTAACCTCAAAGAAACATTTCACAGACAGAAGAGCTGGTGTCGTGCAGTTGGTAGAGTGTCAAACTAAGGTCTGGGAGACCAAGGGTCGGATCCGGACATAAAGCTTGCTGGTTGATTTTTTAGTTAGATGCTTGTGAGGATAAAATGTGTGCCACCGTAAGCACCTCGAAAGATTTTTTTTTTAATGCGCTGGATATAAATTAGTTTATAGTGCAATCCTAATCAGTTACACCCTTCGCTTTGAAGAGAATGGACGTAGAGGGGTGTAACTCTGCTCAGAATTGAACCATTAGCCACCTACATGTTTTTCAGAACAAGCAGTCTCTCCTATATTTACTTACATGTCCCAAATTTCAATTTGTCAAACAACTATCCACTGGCTCCACCTAGTGGCAGATTGCATTGAAAATTAAACATTCATAAACATGCATCAGTCCAATAATATCATTGGCATAATTGTGACGGAGCATGCCATTTACTAAAAGTTATTGCCACTCTGCTACAGACTACTGACTTATATTGCATTACTTCAGATATACACCTGGTCCCTGAGGCTTTTGTATCCTAAAATCAGTACCTTCGGCTTTTATTTATTTGGTCTTAAAAGACAAAGATCTTAACCTGCGACTTCATTTGAATTATTCCGATTTAAAATCAGGCATATACAAGTGGTGTGACTGGCTGTAGGCATCTGTTTTCCCCAGTTCCCCCCTTCCCCATGGTTTCCTCTTTCCTTCCCCTGGCAGCTCTCATAGCCTCTCCCTTTTTCCTGCTTCCTCTCCTCCCCTCCCCTCCCCACCAACCAGCCCTTTTTATCAAGTTTCCCTCCTTACCTTTCTCTGGCAGCCTATCCCTTTTTCTTCTCTCCTAACTGCCTCCCTTCCCTTTTCTGTTCTCCTCTGCACTTCACTTCTATTCCTTCTCTCCCCTTTCCCAGATTCCTTCCCTTTCCTCCATCTTTTGCCTGTTAATAGGGCTGCCAGATCCCCCGGGGGAAGGGGGGTTGCCCGGTCTAGGGGCCTCTGATCCACTGGTCTGGATCCAGCTAGCGGAGGGAACCCCACCCCTAAGGTGCCTGGATTGGGCTGTCATCATGCCGGGCACATCTCCAGAGGGGAACACTCTAGCATTCGGCCTGAAAACTCTATGGTATCATAGATTTTTCAGATCTAATGTTAGAGCATCCCCTTGGCAATATGCCTAATGCAGTGATGTCACTTCCGGGTGATGTCATCGCAGCGTGCATGAAGTTCCTGGACCAGGAGCTTCTCCCCCCACTCCCCCGCCAGAAGGAGGTAGGGACGTGGCAACCCTACCTGTTAATCTCTCCATCCTGCCTTTGGCTTAGAAGACACAGCATATAGTTGTGGTTGGCTACCAACTTCTCAAATTGTCACTGAGATCTCAGAACATAATATTACAATCTTACAGCTTTTAAAGTGATAGGTATTGCTTCTATTTTTTTTAAACCTAACCCTTTTTTAGATTTCAGATTTTTCTGCAAACCTGGCGCTTTGCTCGGGTTTGTAGAACCCTCACCCCCCACCCACCCCATCTGTTCCTGGCCCCATTGCATGTATTTTTCAATTCACCCTTGAGGATCCAGTTCAGAATTAGATATAATAATTAAAATGTTTGTGTTCCTGGTAACCAGTTTTCTCATGTGGTTCTCCTGCCTTCCATTTTCTCCCTCTGTGCTGCTAATGTCTTACTGCTAGATGAGCCTGGGACAACGAGCAAAGCTGACTTGCACACCTGACATGGCGTATGGAGCCACCGGCCATCCTGGAGTCATCCCGCCAAATGCTACGCTCATTTTTGATGTGGAGCTGCTTAAGATAGAGTAACTCAGAACAGCTGACTGAAGGTCATAGCCTCCCATCCTCTTCCCCTTTTCCTTTAATGGGAAGCATCTCCACCGAAATTTCTGTCACTCCTGCTGTCATGCCAACAATGCCTCTACTTGAGGTTGTTTTCTCACTTTCCTAATTTTTTAAAGAAAAAAATATTGTTGGTGTATGTATTTGTCCTTGTTTAGATGCTTCTTTTTTGCTGTGGAGACAAAAAAAATGGCTGTAACATTTTTTGAGTTGTAAATTTTATTTTAATTTGCATGTGAAACTTCAAAATTGTGATTAGAACTATATATAAACACAAAAGAAACCTATAAATATGTAGAGAAATTACTTACTGAAAAACCACTGCCTTACTATACACATTAAAAAAAATAAAAGAATACACACACACAGAGAGGGGTGCTCAGAAATCAAGTGTACAGGTTGTACATGAATGGGCATTAGCCAAACCAAGTTACCTGCGCTGCCACTTTTTCTCAACTTGTATGTTCTGCTTGCTGCTGTTTTAAATAAAATGTCTCAGATGGGGGGGGGGAGTTCCAAGAAGAAAAATAAAAATCTTGATACTTTATTTTCTCCTTTGTTTTTTTTAACTTCTGGGTTTAAGAAGTCATAAAGGTAAACACAAGAGCTCTTAATTCACAGATTTTATTAATTTCCTCTGAGAGGTTGTGGTTACAGAATGATTCATTCCTATCACACGTAAATGAAACTTTGGGCAAGTGCAACTAGAATTCTGTAAACTCTGCAACCAGTAATTTTAAGAGGAACTCATCATGAATGCACAAAGCTGTCGCGTACTGAGTGAGACCATTGGGCTATCTGAATATTCGTATACTTTTATTGGCACATCGGCAATCACAACTAAATAATAATCGGCTATCTGAATAGTTTACTGGACGCTCCCATGTGGACGAACCAAAGCCTAATGTAATAGTGCCATATGTCCTTACTCCTTTCTCCGGACCAGTTATTCTGACGGTGCTGTTTTGGGGAATTAGTGGGAAGAAAATGGACAGAGTCAAATGATCTATGGCAGAGAGAAGCAAAAGACAGCAGGATTATTTTTAAAAAGTTGTCTATTAAGACTAGACAAAGGGCTGCATGATGCATCCAACCAGCTTTTCCTTTGGTGAAGGGGGGGCAGTCCCTTTGACCACCAAAATGACTGTGCTGGGGATCAGGGGACAAAAAGCCATATGAGAGAGGCTGAAATAAGGAGGGGGACTGGGCAAGATCAAGTGAAAAGCTCTCTGAATCCCACACAATACTATGTAGGTCACAGACATTCATACCGTTGATGTCGTTGAGTACTCAGCCTGTTCCAGAAGGGGTAGCACTCTCCCTGAAAGAGCAGGTCCATAGCATGGGGATGTTACTGGATCTGGTCCTATGGCAGGAGGCTCGGGTCTCCTCTGTGGCACAGAGCACTTTTTATCAGCTTTTTCTGATATGCCAGCTATGGCCCTTCCTTGAAAAGTGTGATTTGGCCACAAGATCTATGCTCTGATCACATCCAGGTTAAATTACCACAGTGCACTCTATACATGGGATTGCCTTTAAAAACTGGAAACTTCAGCTAGTCCTGCCATCAGGGGCAAGATACAGAAATCATTTCACTCTGGTGCTGAAGGGTCTGCACTGATTGCCCATCTGTTTCCAAGCACAATCCAAAATAGCTTGAGGCCAGGGGTATTCAAAGGACTGCCAGCTAAGATCTTCCTCAAAAACCTTGCTTTCTGTGCCCCTGCCTTCAGAGGTGAGGCAGGTGGTGAATAGGGTCAGGACTTTTACAGTGGTGGCACCTCACCTGTGGAATACACTTCCCTTTGGAACTATGCTGCTCTCTTTTATGCTCCAGCCCAAAACATTCCCTGGAAAGGTGGCATAGAAATGCACCGAATAAAATGTCAAAGTCATGCTCAGATGCCCTCTGCTTACCAAGCATTCAACAGATTGTCTTCAGTCTTGCTGATGCTATGGGTTCTAGCTGGGTTCTAGACGCACAGCGGTGATCAGCTCAGGTTTATTCAGTGATTTCAGCAAAACTACAAGACAAGACTCCAGAGCCTCAGCTCTGTTAAATAGCATGCAATTGCCACACCCAAACATACTCCACTCCCAGCGATAGGCAGGGCCGGCCCCAGCTTATTTTGCACCCTAGGCGAGGATCCCTTCTGGCGTCCCCCCCCCCCATGTGTCCCCCAATTTTTAAAAAAAAATGTGTCCACCAATTTTCAAAAATAAATGCATTTTAGGAAGAATGAAAAACACAAATAATCAAGAAACTCCCAGAGTACGGGGCCGGGTGCAGCTTGGCGCCCCAAAGGGCCGGCCCACTCTAGGCGATCGCCTAGTTCGCCTAGTGAGTGAGCCGGCCCTGGCGATAGGCTATTTACATAACATTACTACTTGATTGGTTTATTCCAGAGTCCTGGTCAGCTATTGTACTTGTGCTCCAAGCTCAGCCAGTCTCTGGGGTGATTCAATCAGGGAGGATTCAATCCCAATACATGACAGGTACATTTACAGTTTTGACAAAGGACACCATCAGAAAATGGCTGCTGCAGGGGCAGTCATGATGCCCTGCCTGTTCCCACAGAATGCTGCGGTATTCGAAAAGCCAACTTGGTCCCACAAAGGCAACACCCTCCGGGCAGTCCTGAAACATCTCCTGCACTTGTTTGGACAAACGAATGCTGTCCAGGTTCAGAGGTGAAGGGAAGGGTGGGGTTTGTTTTCTACAACAGCCCCTGAGAGAGGTTTCAAACCCAGAGACATAAGGATATCTGCGCCTGTGGCCAGACTAAAAGCCCATGGCTGTGATGCAGATGCCCAGACTGAACTCATTGCTTAGCTAGCTTATAGGAAATTACCCAAAGCTTCCCAAGCTTTTTTGCTGTTCAGTCAAGACCCTTGGATTTTGTCCTCAAGAAACCAGGTTTCAGGGAGCAGGCAGTAAGCTTTCGGGAGCATGTGTTTACAACAATGGTCTATATAGCTGCATGTTTCTCTTACCGCTGTGAAGATCAGAAACTTTTAAATTCAAGGCTTGGAATCAACAAATACCTGCAATTTGCACCAGTTTTCACACTTAGGCTTCTACTGTGGTTATGTCAATACATCTCATTTCTTCCACACTACAAATGGCTTGTCTCTGCCATTTAAGACAGTGTAATGGATTTCAGCATAAGAGATTTCTCAAAAATTATTGTTCCTGTTAATGACACTACATTCTGTGACAGTAGACAACCTTTATTGGCATGTAAGAGATACGATAACATTAAAATTTAGGAATACATAAAAAGTATGGCTGTCGAATAGCCAACAAAAAAGAACTGATCAATTAATAGTTTTCCTGGTTCGAATTACAGATTGAAGAAAACGAGCAACATTAAAAGTTATAGAAGCATTTTGCCCAGAGAGTAGCAACTGGACCTTGATACTCTCAGGAAGACCATGCCATGTAAAAAGAAGGGTGTCCAGAAATTTTCCTCAAATCTTAGTATAAAATGGACAATTTAAAAGAACATGGGAAACGGATTTGATAGCACTCTGACCGCAGGGGCATTGCCTAAGTTCATAGGGGATTTTTTGGCATCTTACAGAGAAGATGGCCGGTGGCAATATGTTAAATCTGGCTAACATAAATGCCCTTTGATGGTGATCAGAGAACAAAAATAAGTAGCTTTCTGGCCCAGTGTCTGGGATAATCCCAGATGAACTGGTGAACAGGTTTTCCTGGCTGCCTCAGTCAGGCGCTGAAATTGAATATCTAGAAGCCTGCGTTTAATTATATAAAGTATTGTGGAGGCAGATGGTAAGTAAAGCGGACCTAGACTACATTCTAGGTATCCTTTCATGGTCCATGTCATGGGGGGAAAGGTAGCTGAAAGCAAAAGCACCTAGCGTCACATGAACACTTTCAACAAATGTGTCTCGATCAAATCTAATTTAGAAGCAGATTTCTGTGGGCACAGAGCTCCAAGAGTCAGCTGGATCCACAGCTGCATTGCAAAGCTCATCTGGGCCCAACTGTGGAAGCTGAATGAGGCTTTTGATGCAGATGTTGAGATGCTGTGCACAATTACAACAGAGTCAGGCCCTCGATGCTAATGAACAGCACCATAGTCTGAACATGAAATGTTCACTTATTTTGCACCATTTGGCTACAGGAACTAAATTCAGGAGGTAGAAATTGCATTTTTTTAAAAAACATGAGAACTTTGCAAACAGGGCTCCCAAGTACTTACCTTAATTTGGCGGGGGATGTATAGTTCTTCGTGGGACCACTCCCACGGGGAAAACACAGGTGCTGCACTATTCCGTCGCCCAGACATGACGTAGGCACGTAGCCAGGCAACGCTCTAGCAATGGGGCTGGAAACTCGATGGTATCATCGAGTTTCCAGTCCCATTAGCAGACCATCGCCCAGCTACGTGCCTACGCCACATCTGGGCGACAGAATAGTGCAGCGCCTGTGTTCCAAGCAAGAATCTTCCGGCGGGAAGCATGTGTTCCCCGCCGGATCGTAGGTAGGTACTTGGGAACCCTATTTGCAAAGCACAGATTTGGGAGAAGAGACAGATTTTTGAAACTTTCTCCAGGACTGTGGTGGTGGGAAAGAAGGCAATGCTTAGACTCCATTATCAACCTTTTCTCCTGGGGAATTCAATTAAGATGTTTTTAGTTGGCATGGATTACAGAAATTTAACTTGTTAAGTAGTAGCCTGGTTGCTTTCACAAGAGGGATGTCTCCACGTGTATACACATAGAGTACCTATATAGAGTGAGGGCAACACTGCTGAGTTTGCCTCCCATCTCATAAGAACGTAAGAGACGCCAATGTTAGATCAGGCCAAAGGCCCATCCAGTCCAACACTCTGTGTCACACAGTAGCCAGAAATACCAGGTGCCATCAGGAGGTCCACCAGTGGGGCCAGGACATTAGAAGCCCTCCCACTGTTGACCCCCCCCCCAAGCACCAAGAAGATAGTCTTAAGTAGACTTTGATGTCATCACATTTTTGTGGCCCCAAATAGAAACCTTTTGGTGTGTCATTCAATTCCATATTGGAACATTCCAATGTTGGTCCTATTTTATTTTATTGTTAATTGCCTTAAATGTGTTACAGGGCCTGTGCTGCTTGTTGTATTTGGTACTATTTGACCTCTGAAGAAGGCTCTTGTGAGCCAAAACGCGTCAGGCCATACACTGTCCTTTTTTGTGCATTTGTAACTTTGAACATTTTATGAGGCTTTATTTGGGCCCCTACAAGGTTTTTATGTGTCTTTGAAATAAACACTCTTTTGTACACTTACTTATTTTTAACTTTGGGCCCTCAATAAGTTTCTAAACTTCCTTTGGAGGGATATTAAAAATACAACAGCTTTGAGCCAGTTGAAAGATGGCAGCCTCAACTGCACATGACAGAATTATTAAGCTGAACTTCAGCACCAAAAGTGGATGTATGGAGATCAGGGGTCCCTTCCCACCTCCACATCTCATTTAAAACCACCCTGTTTACACCA